TTGAATTCACATTTATTTTTGACAAGTATGAAAACATTGTACTAGAATTTTCATACAATACAGATAATTGTGTCAAAAATATATTAAGTTTTATTTATCTCTCAAAACAGCACAGAACAATAGACTAAACCGTGGTAATGATTCAAATCATAAACGAGTATCTAATTCCTCTCTCATCTTAAAGGCATCGGGGTAGAAATCGCAAAACATGCGGTCCTTGAATGAACATTTAACATACTTATATCAAGTTTCAATTGTGCAGAGGAATTTAATATAAGAACTTGTATGGAAATGCCACAGATCACAAATTCTATCCCATCAAGTGTTAAAGCCATCTATTCATCACATTTCCCTTTCAAATGCCATTGTAAGAAGTCATTATGTTAAAAATAAAATGTTTTACACGGGTACCATCTGAAATCAATTTTGGCATACTGGATAAACATAGTAAGCAGGAAAAACTAGAATCATAATGTGATACATTTTTGTCAGGTTGAAATCATCCATGGTTTTGATCTGTACATCATTGGAATTCTACAACATTATCATCTACATTTGGTTTTAAAGGACTCAATTTGTTAGAACGTGGCTGAGCAGGAAGGGGCAGCTATTACTTTCAACAGATGTGCAATCTGTTTTTCTCATTTAAATGGTGGCGTCATATTCTGGCAGGCTAGGTCAGCTGTATAATGAACTTCCTGTGTCAAAGATCAGCACTTCTGAAACCTTGTGCTAAATTTTTCTTTCAACGCTGTTTATTTGAGTGGTTGAAAATGTGCAGGATTACCATAACCATATTGAAAGGATTATGCAAAAGTGGAGATTTCTTTCCCCCCTTTCCACAGCCCCCTAAGGATTTTCGTTTCATACTTTTTGCATTGTAGAATTAGTGGTAAAAATGTCATAGGTGGGGGAACATTTTTAAACTGCAATGGGATCATACTGAGAGAGTCACCATTGCAATGTTTTTAAAGTCTAGAGGTGTTTAACACTCGGAGGCTCATTATTCCATAGTTGTTCAATTTTTATCATTAAGCCATAAGACAGGTATGGACATGGTAGACCAATTTTTGGTTTGTGTATGCAGCTGTGAGGCAGACAGTACATCATTCTTCCAGAAAAGTATAGATGCTGGGCTGCTGGAACTTCAAATACTGTTCCTATAGCAACAGTGAAACTGTTCTTAGTCTGTGGCACAGTTATGAACCTCTGCCTTGTCTCCAGCACTTCCTGCTTATGACCTGACTTTACTTGTACTGTGGGATAGGGAGAGTGGATTACTGAATGAATGATCTATTGTTTTCAGCCAACACTAAAGAGTAAAAAGGTTGTTCTGGTCCAATTAACTCCGTTTGGTTGCATACAATAATAGAGATGATTATCCAACTGCATGTGAATTATCTAATAATTCCCATAATATGTACATAATGTTCTTGAATTTGTCTATTCATAACTTAGCAAACAAACAAGCATGACATACAAATAAAAACCGAAAGCACTGCAGATGCTGTAAATCAGAACCAAAAACAGAAATAGCTGGAAAAGCTCAGCAGGTCTGGCAGCATCTGTGAAGAGAAATCATAGTTAACATTTCGGTTCGAGTGACCCTTCCTCAGAACATACAAAAAGCTGTTCATAGGTTTCTCATAGTTATTTCAATTTGAACATGGCTTACTAAATTGAAAAATAACTAAATTCTATGCAGAACCATGTGGATCTATGTTATTGTATGGAATCTATACTAAGTGATATAGATCAGAAAGGTTTTATCCCCTCTCCATGTTATCACCAGATATTAACTATTGATTGCAGTGGGAGTACACAATTGACCTATCATCCATAAGCTGACAAAGGACTAATAGCTGAGATTCCTATGCCTAATTTTTATTAATGGGCCTTGATGAAGGTGCAGTATGGGGTAGATTAAGAGAGAATTATGTTTAATCTCTCTGAAGGTCAAAATATCTTTCCAAAGCTTCTGTGGTGAATTTCACCTGCAGATGCCTCACGCTGATTCCCTCTGGGCTATGATTTTAACTTGCTCATCAGCGGCCCTTCAATATACCAATGGGCTCTAATTAAATTTTCAGATCCAGAGTTCTAATCTGACAAATTACCTCAGTGCCTAATTTCTTGGCAGTATATTGCCACAGCCACCAAGCTGAAATGACAAAGATAAAACAATACTTTCCTGCAGAGCCAGAGAAAACAAATGTGCTTGTTTGGGCACCAAATGCCTGCAGCTCAAATTGAGAAGAATTGCCTCTCTTTGCCCGAGAGCCAAAGGTTGTTCCTTCAATAACCAGTGGCAGGCCCCTGTTGCCAGATATTTCACTCCCACCAATTGACTAGCTCCCGCTTCCTGCCTGACCAGCGGATTACAGGCAGGCCTGGAAATTACAATCTCCTGGGCTTTTGCTGCCAAAGTCCAAATGATTTTCCAGCCATCTCGGCTTCCACCTGCTCAATTTCTGCTGCGATAAAGTCAGGGGTTCAATATTTGCATTCATACTCAACCAAAGAACTCTTGTGGTGGAGTGGCAGTGGCCCTACCTCTGGGCCGAGAGGCCTGAGGTCAAGTTTCAGCTGTTCCATTTAATAAAAAAAAATCTCTGAACCGGTTTCTTTTGGAAAATATTTACATGCTACAAGAATAGTTATGTGGGAGAAGTAAAAGAATTGCAAGCGTCATAAATCTTGTGCTGGTGTAAGCATTGCATTTTGTACAGGAAATGAAAAAACTTGACAACATTGAAAAGCAAATTTTGGAAAAAATGATTGGCATTTATTTGATGAGAACACCTGGAAATTGGACCTCCCATCAATGCTGTTTTGGGAATAGTCAAATACTGCAACCATACATCATTTTCATTTTAACATTTTTTTTAAAGAAGTGTGGCATGACTTAAGAAAAGAAATGTGACTGCAGAAATTTTCCAATGTATAAAATAATTAAAGTGTGCACAAGCAATTTATTCTTACATGGCTTCAGATTTTAAAAATATTGCTTTTATTTTTCTGGACAATTCTTAATTGACTGTGGCTCTTACATCTAGTGCCTGAATCCAAAATTGAAGTGTGCCCTAATTATAAGCACAGACAGATTGAATATTCCCACACCAATATAATGAAAACTTTTCATTGTGCATTGACATGAATAATTCTGCGAAGACCACCTAGACTTTCATTTGGGCTATTAAAACTAATTCTTCCTTCACTTTCTGTTCAACTGCAGAGGGTCCGTCCTGCTCTCTCTCAGCTGGAAGATTGAAAGGTTCAGGGCATACGCTTCAACATGGACACAGGTTATAGTGTTCAATGCTACAAATCTCTTTAGTGAATGTCTGAACTATTGCTCATTTGGTGGTAGAGGAGGGAAGGGGTGTATTTCCTGTTTACAAGATTGTCATGTCATCATCAACTATCCTTCAATTCAAGAATGACATTGACTTAGTTTTAGGGGTTTCAACCATATGGTTAAACAGGCCAATTTTCACACTGCGGAGCTTTGAACACATGGGGCAGGAAATCTGGAGCGCAGGATTTGCTTTCTTTACATTCCTTCTCTACTGCCACTTTGCGTCATTGTTTCTTGTTTGGACTCAGAACACAATGCTGTTTGATGGACATGTCACCAGTTTGAAGTTCCTGCTAGTCATTAAGGTAAATTCTGCTGCATTTCAAGCAGAGCTTCAGAAGGTCGTTGGAGCACTTTCGTTGTCATCCCCCAGTATGGCAGCCATTTGAAAGCTGAGAAAACAGCGTCTGGCTAGAGAACTGCTTTTTAGCCACCAGGACACATTGTCCAGAGCATTGTAGTTGGTTTTTCAGGAGCTGTGTCTGAATGCTTATCGACCTGGTGTCATGAAGGATACTAGCCGTTGTTGTCTGGCCCTTCCATGTGGAAGCATTGCTGGGGGAGCTTTTCTAACACTTACCACAGAGGGCTGTTGAGACTGGGTCATTAAGTACATTAAAGGCTGAGATAGACAGATTTTTAATCAGTAAGGGAATCAAGGGTGAAAGGGGAAAGGGAGGTTCCATAAGAATTCTGTATGCTTCAATAACGTCACCACTCATTCTTCTATATTCTAAAGAGTACAGGCCAAATCTACCCAACCGCTCCACATAAGATAGTCCCTCTTCAGTTGGTATCAATCTTCTTTGGACTGCCTCCAATGACAGCATATCTTTCCTTCAAAAATGGGATAAAAATGGTTCACAGTATTCCAGCTGTGGTCTGACTGGTGCCTGGTACAGTTTTAGCAAAACATCCTTACTTTTATATTCCATTCCCTTTGAAATAAAGGCCAGTATTCCATTTGTCTCCCCATCTCAATCTTAAACAAAATTGTTCACTTATCCTTACACCATTCCCACTGTTCTAGACTCTCCAGCCAGGAGAAATAACCTCTCAGTCATCTCTTCTTGTCAAGTATCTTCATAATCTTGGATGTTTTATTAAAGATCACCTCAGTTAATGCAGTAAAATTTATTCAGCCTCTCATTAAAACAAATGTCTGTTTCAAAGATCCAGGATATTGCAAAAAAGAAGGTACCCATTTCAATGGGACAGCTGTCCTCCGCAATTTCATGAGATTAAAAATCATCCACTTTAAAGGGATTTATAGATCACACAATTTCACGAACAGAATGAAAGTTATCAGTGCCCAACCCGAGACTGACTAATCTGAAGGGACTGTGTTCTGGGAGAATAGTTAAAATTCCATACCATCTGAATTTGTGAAGTTGGAGGCTTGGAGGGAGGGAGTTAGGTTAATGGTAAATATCATTGCATACATAAACATATCATGTTAATAATGGGGATTAATGCTTGGGAAGAATTGGTATCAGAGTGTACATGTCTGAAAGGACTAATGCTGAATAATGTATTAAGCTTTGCTCAAAAAGATGATTCTACACATGCTGGGCAGAGGGGCACCATTGTATGATGAAAGAGTAAGACTTGACATCAAGGTCTCCCTCATCGTCTCAGTAACAATGCTTTTCAAATCAATGTAACTTGCATGGAGTTGCTGTCATGAAATATATTTTTTAGACCATAGCCTCTTGTTAGACTACTTGGTGCTATTCCTCTCTCACACTAGATCACGCTGAGCCCTATAGATCCCTACCACCAAAGAGAGAGGGGAGGCAAAGCCACCAGATAGATCTCACACCATGATGAGTGTATGTTGTCCTGTGTAGAACCCGTTAATGTCTGACTCAGAGGTAAGAGTGCTACTAACTGTACTAAAGTTAATAAAGAATTCTAAGGGATTCTCTAAGGGTAAAGTTGATATAGTCCTACCAGACCATTGGGCTGCCGTCTCATTAGAGCGAGATGACTGGCGGGGGTTTTACCTGAGGGTCACCAAGCCTCATGTGAGAGGTGAGGTAAAGAAACAGAGTCCTTCATGGTAACCTTACCTATTGCAGGAATTCAACCCATGCGATTGGCATCACTCTGCATTGTAAATGAGCCAGCTGACCTCCTAATGACCCCTTTTATGTCAGCATATCCTTCCATGTCTTCTGTCTTGCCTCTACAATGACATGACAGACAGTACAAGGTCATTCCTACTTTTCTCATTTCAGCATGTTATTGCTGTTGCCTGTGGCCAATGGTCATAGCTCATAGCTTCAAGTGAATCTCCAAGATGTCCACTTGGCTCCCCTATTATCCACTTTGTTTATCAATTCTCAAACATGCAATAAAGCACCTGACTCAGCAATTGTACCAGACCGTCCTTATGCTAGAAATGAGCACTGATTGTCATAGCCCAAATTCTGTTATTGTCAGAGGCAGACAAAACAGTGAAATAGCTAACAAAAACAAAGTTGCTGGAAAAGCTCAGCAGGTCTGGCAGCATCTGTGAAGGAAAAAACAGAGTTAATGTTTCGGGTCTGGTGACCCTTCCTCAGAACTGATGGTGGCTGGGAAAGTGTCAG